ACCCACACCGATACCAACACCACACTCCCCACACCCACACCCTCTGTCATACAATATTTGCATTCAAATCATATTATTTCTTGGTAATTTCAAAAAATTAATTAGTTTTTAAATATTATTTTAAAAAAAATTATTCACTAATCTGAAATGTGAACATATAATTATTTGTTCAACAATGTTCGATATGTCTTATTGATTATGAGCTTGGGCGATTATTGAAAACTCTTGATGAAATTTATCATTCATTTTATGCTACTTATAGTTACATGGCTTCGGAAGTAATTGTTTTTATGTTTAAAACTGAAAAAAAAAACGTTATCGCATGAACTTGCATTGGTTCGACATTTGGTAAATCGTTCATCAAACGGAGGTTCTAGTTATGCAGTGGATTTTGGAGCACTTGAAATAGTGCTATTGGATAAATCCATGAGAAGCGTACCACATTTACATCGACTTTCTCAGAATTAGCTGAAATTTTCAGAGTTTGTAGAGTTCGATGAGCTGATCATTTTGGTAATAAATTATTATGGGTTCGATTACTGATTAGGGTCGAAATGAGCAAAATACTCTTATTCGAAAATTCCGGAAAAAATCATAGTTAAAGTGAGAAGTTCTCATTTTTGCGAGAACATTTTCTATTTTATTTCAAGAACAAAATGGAACATTCTTTGCATATTCGGGTAGACCATGTTCAGCTCTATCGAACCATATATGATTCAAAATAATTCCATTTTTTCAGAAAAATTTTTAATTGGGTCACAAAAAGTTCACTGCAAAACAAACTTCATCTTCTAATAAAAAACTCCTTCCGAATTTGGATGAATTGCGATCTAGTAGATTTTGTAGAGCGTCGAACGCTCTATCTTGTGGCATATAGAGCTCTGCAGCCGGTTTCGATTTTCGTGCATTAGAGAGCTAAAATGTTTATCTACTGCTGCTTTGTGAAGGTTTTAGTTCATATTTCTGGACTTTTCAAAAGAAAAACTCAATAAACTAATCTGAAACTTTACCCTCAAAGAAATCTTACTTATTAGAGAAGTAGTTATAAAAAATTTATTGACATTATTGTCTCTTTCATATCATTCTACGAGAGTAAAATGTCACAAGTCACGTTTGAACTCTTTATTGTTCAAACGAGAAGGGTCGTTAATCGATGATATTGACCGCCTGCTGAAATCGAGTTTTATATTTTTCAAATAGTCGATTAATATTTGAATTAGTAAATTAGCCTTAGTCATAGCTATGTATGGAGTGGAGAGGGGGGGGGGGGAGCAAAAATATATATATTGTCTATTACCTGGCCAGTTGAAATATGCTGTGTTTCCATAAAGTGCATTGACTTTGTTAATATCCTTCCATTTGAGTTAAATATTAAATAAAAAGCTTATTCTTTTCGCTATCGAAGATATAAAGCAGTGTGATAAAATATTCTTCTTTCATTGTTTTCTTAAGATGACCTTGTACGCTACTATGCAACATTTTATGAGTATTCATAAGAAAATCCCATATTCAAAGTCCGAGCAAATATCATCATGAAGACCAATATGTACTACATACTGGTTAGTTGTTTCGCAGCAGTAATAAGTAAGTAAAGAAGTATCTAATTGAGAAATATAATACACCTGACGAATTCACTAGTAATGAAACACTGTTCTTAACATAAAGCTGATAAGATTGATTTTCTTTTGCTGAGCGACTTTGAATAATGATAAATGATAGCTCTAAGCTTATTGAATAAGCACATCATTTTTCTGCGAAAACTACAATTATATAGGTCATTACATTTTCTTGTTTATATGATATTTGAAAAATAAAAATCTATGCAACTATTCTTCCACGATAGTTTCAAAGAACGAAGAGAATCACTCTCGAAAGAGTGAACTTGTAAGAAAGTTTCAAATCTGTGTCGATTTGATAAATCATCCAAAAACAGAATGAAATGATTGTAGCCAACAAAAGCAATACAATTTGATTTATAAACTTCAAAAACTATCAGAGTTGAAAATACATATAAACACAATTGTTACATAAAAGTCATTTTGTTCGAATCTCGACTGTAGACGGATGGAAAATCTTTCTAATAACATCTATTTCATTTATTCATTCTAAAAAAAGGACAGAAGAGCTCACATAATAAATATATTTGTACTACTTGTGGACGCATATTTAATACTCTACCATGTTAATTTTTCCTCCTCTTGATGAATAATCTTAATGCTTCATTTGTACATGTATAGAAATTAATTGGTAAGCTCGATGTATTTCGATTGACAGTTTTGATCATCAGACTGACTCATTGAGATATAACTGAGACAGTGACTGAGTCGTTGAAAAAAGATCGTATTATCTGTCAGACGACGAGCATAAAAATATGTATATCTCAAAATTTTTTAGCATTTATAAGTGATCTGTTAGACTTGAACAGAAGTGTGATAATAATCTTTAAAAAGACTAGTATTCCACTATAGTTCTCTACGAATGAGATAATTATCTATTCCAGCTCAAACCAAAAGTGTTTATTAATTCTCTCGGTTTTTTTCAGAAAAATTCAGTATTGTACGGTTGTGCTTTTATAAATAGTTCATTATAGAACAATGGTACAAACTATATATTTTACTGTGTATTTCATGTATAATCGTTGCACAACATTTTAAAATCATATGAATTCGTGTTAGAACCAGTTGGGTCGAATCTATGAATATTTTATTCACTTTTTTTGGCCAAATCTTTTTCATCAACTCTTTTATGCTGGTTAGCAGTATGGTAATCAAATGATTATTTTGATAAAAAAAATACTGCATATTTCCAGCTAAACCATTGGCAAGTTTGATCATTTTCTTTGGAACTTTGTTACATGATTTTTGTTTCTTACTTTATCTATAAGTAGTTGAATATTGGACTAGCATAATTTCTAAAGAATTCTTTTTTCTATGCGGATTTCACAGCGCTATGAACATTTCAAAAATATAGGTTCTCTTTACTTTTCATTTATTAAAAGGATTGTATTTTGAAACATTTTAAGGCCCTCTCAAAAATTGATTTTGACCTAGGAACGTTGAATGAGTTGAAATTTTGAGAATATGCTGGGAACATTAAGTGGAGTCTATGATAAAATTTTCAGCTCAAAATTATTTAATTTAAGGGAGATATTCCCCAAACAAGGTCAAAAAATAGCTAATTTTGGCAACCCAAATTTCTCTGTAAGGGCTCGTCCAATATATAAATGGTTTTTTTTGTTTGAAAGAGTGTGTCAAGATGCAGGACTCTACGTCGCTCTTTTTTTGAAACACCTCCTTTTAATTAGAAAAAAGAGGTTAAAAGTTAAATGACTAAAAAATTTATCAAAAAATTGTAATCGAAATATATTACTGACTTTATATTGACTAAAGAAAAGGAATATTTCAAAAAGAGGACGATCTAGTGTTCTGTATGTTGGTACGCTCTTTCAAACAAAAGAAAAATATTAATACATTGAACGAACCATTACAGAGAAATTTTCGATGCGCGTACGGGAAAGCGAAAAAGGAGACAAAACGAAAAACAGTTTTGGGTATTTTAAAAAACCGCTAGTTTTTCAAAAACTGGTTCTCTGAAATTCTGAAAGTATTTCTCTCTTCTGAAATATGTCCCGTCATTGAATTATACATCATTGAATGCAGAATTAAATTCCGCATAAAATGATGTATAAATGATGGACGGGACATATTTTTGAAGAGAGAAAATAGCCGTTGAAATATCTCAACGGTATATTTTTTTTCTGTTGTGACAATATTCGGAAGGAATGGTTCTCTCTTCCGAAATATCTCTTGTTTATGAGTTATGCATCATTCGATGCAGAATTAAATTCTCTAGAGGTAGATGTATAACTCATGTCCGGGCAATGGATAGTGTGGTGCACAAATCGATTTTTTGTGAAAATTGTGCACTTTTGTTTCGTCGTGCTAGCTTCATACGCATTTCTGTTGCTAAGGCCGCCACTTCCAAAGAATTGACCTCCGCTTGGAGTTTTTTTCTTTTGGGATTTTATGATTGGTGATTTATACGACCAGTCAACTTTTGTGGCTCGTCGTGGTAATTCGTTGTGTTAATGTGCTAGCTTCACATCGATCAATTATCCTCAACTTTATTCATTATCACTCGTAAATTTTCACGAAATAACACTTTATGAATATTTAACAGGTATAGAATTTCATTTTGTCCTTATGATTGAAAAACACCAATATACTTAAAAAATTATCTTTTTTTTTATTTTCTAAATTTAAGGTAATTTAATTCACCGTGATCTTTTGGCCAAACAAATAACTCATCTAAATATTGATATTAAAAACCCACCTGAACTATGTTTGAAAACTATTTCAAAGATATTTGTATTAATCTTATGTTTATGTAAAAAATTAATTGTATTAAATTTTTCTGATATGTTTCTTAAACGGCAGTGTAAAACTCCTGTTTCCTATCTGTTATCGAACAATTATATACCTTCAACTTTAATCAAATTGAAAATTAATGTCGTGAGTTTAGTTGACTGTCTCTATCTACTTGATGGATCTCTCGTTTGTTTATTAACATTAATTATTAATGTTGAACATATTTTTCATTCAGCTCTATCTATTGTTCCAACAGTAAATATATAGTTTCAATGATTATGTTTAGAAGAAAATAACACTAAATTAAATAATTAAATAAATATTCCTAATTTTCTTTTCTTGATAGAAAAAACTTCCTCGATTGAAATGTTTGTCATTCACTGTACGTAATATAGTATTTGAATATGATGAATTACTTGTTTCATTATTTTGTCGAATGATAAATCTTGAAGAATTGAAATTATATCTATTAGTTGGAAGATTTAACTCAAGTTATATTGATGGTATTCAATTATATGATCAATTTCTTATTTATATGACACAATTAAAGAAATTTACATTTAATATCAAGTCAATGGTCTACAACAGTGATGTTAGCGTTGAACTTCCATCGAATGAAGATATTCAACATAGTTTCATCGGCAGAGGTTATCAAAAAGTAACTTCATATTTAACATAAGATTGAACTTCATCTACTCGTAGGAATTGAGTAGTGACGAGTTGATTAGGCTGTGGGTGTAGATTGAGAGATGAGCCACACCCACCCTTTTCATTGTAGAAATTTGTTATTGGTCTCAAAAACATTCCCATATTTGAGTCTCTACAACTTTATATCAGAACGTTTTATTTAAACTTCTAAAATGAAAGAAATGGTCGAGTAATATTGTGCGCTTCTGTAATGTATACGATTTATATAAAAAAAAAGAAACAATTGTTTTCGTTTTATTTGTTGAGACTTTCGCTCGTCAAAAAAACTTATTGTAATTTTCTAGTCCATTCAAAGCTCAATCTTTCTGCTACGATCATAGATTTTTCACATCAATGCATCGTCCATGGTTTTAGGGAAATATTTTGTTTTTGGAAAATTGACAAAAATCCTTAATATGAATTAGCAATTTTGGGACATTCAGACATTTGAGTAAAAGTCTAGTAAAGCTTGATCCCTTAAAGTAATCTTTTTAATGTATAAATAATAGTTCATTACAACAAGTGTCTATAAATCTGTTGAGAATAAGTACAAATTTCTTGACTTAAAGCTAGTTGAGAAAAATACAAAATATACATCGTGTCATTATTTATGGCGTACCTATTATCTTTTAGCTTTACTAATCGTCAATATATTGAATATTGATTTGTCATAATTTTGTTAAATGAAATTATATGTTACTCATTTTATTTCGATTGAAATACAGTTATATTATGGCATTTAGAGCAATGAATATAAACACTTAGTGTATTATCCCTGATTGACGTATTCATTATAAATATATGATGATAAATGAATCAATCAATAAAATCTG